CCCCGCGGCCCCCGCCTCCCAGATGGTACAGGTGGTCCCCTCGGGAGCCGCGCCGGGGGGCATGGCCGCGCAGGGCCTACCCTCCATCCAGATCGTCCAGACTCTGCCCGCGGTCCAGCTGGTGCACACGTTTTAAGTAGAACCACTGGCCCTCTTCCCGCCTCTCACACCGACCCCGTCACGCTGCCTGGGCTGGGCCGGGGCAGGAGAGCTGTGGCCGGGCTTGCTAATAAAGACCAGAGTCTCCTCGCCTGCGCTTTGTTTTATTTGGGGCGGGGGGCAGGGGGGGAGCCATAGCCACCGCCTGGGAGCCTGGAGGCGCATCTCCTGCATGCCGCTCGCAGGTGACTTGCGAGCTCTGTTTACCCTTAAAAGGCTGCAGTGTCCCCAGAATGGGGGAGGGTGGGCTCTAGAATCCGGGTCCACCTGTCCGTCACCCACACCTCCCCTCTCTGAGCAGTGGGTGGAGGATGCTTGTCCTGAAGGGCACTGAGCACGGTGGGCGGGGTCGGAGGGCCCTAGGGTGGGCGAGTCTGGGAGCCGGTGAGCTCGGGAGGGTGACGCAGCCCGTCGGGCTAGAGCCCAGGGACCAATGAGCATCGATCCACTCCCATCCGCGCCCCTACACCACGCGCAGGTTGCTTAGCAACCCGGGAGAGAGGTGCGAACCCCCTCCACAGCCGGTAGGTACTGCTCCCCGCCGGTGTCCGCCCCCATCGCCCTACGGGTCCGTTCTCCATCGCTCCTTCTCCCCCGACCCCATCCCGGCGGAGGCTCTGCGCCCGGCCTTAGCCCTTCCGCTGCTCACAAGTGCCGGGGAGCTTGGCAACAGTTGCTAAGGCCTTTAGGTACCGCTCCGCCCCCAACGTGCGCGAATCTGACGTCACTTCCGCCAGCGAACCCCCTTCTCGACCCTGCACCCCTACACCTTAAAGGATCAGAGCGACTCGCGGGGGTGTTTGCAGGTCCTCGTCCTGCGGTTGCTGGGGGAGGTGGCGTCCACGTGGCGTGTCATTTGGGGGGAGATCGCTGAGCACCACGGCCCCTGGGTGGGGGGTGCAGGATCCCGGGAGATCAGACCTCGCTTGGGGGTCCCCCGAGCGTCCTCATCGGGGGCGCTCGGGGACCAGAGGGCCTTCCTGATGCTGACTTGTTCTCACCAGGTGCGCGCCTGCTCCCCGGGGCGCGGGGCTGCCATGGCCCCCGGCCACCTGTCGGTGCGGGAGATGAGGGAGGATGAGAAGGCGCTGGTGCTGGAGATGCTGAAGGTGAGGGCGGCTGAGCCCCAGCCCCAGCCCCGGAGAGGCGCGCTCCTCCTGAGGCGCTTCTGGCGCGGCCCCTCTGCAGCGGTTCTCAACCTGTGGGTCGCGACCATCGGAAAACACATATAGCATATCAGATATTTACATGACGATTCATAACAGTAGCAACATTACAGTTATGAAGTAGCAACGAAAATAATTTTATGGTTGGGTCACAACACGAGGAACTGTATTAAAGGGGCGGCATTAGGAAGGTTGAGAACCACTGCTAGCGCCTCCCTTCCCTTGGGGTCCGAAGGTTTTAACACCCAGGCTGTGGGGGACTCCGCCTCCCACCTCACACTCTTCCGAGCAGTCGCAGCGGCCTCAGCCCTGTACTCCCTGCTCCTCTCTGGCTTCCAGAGCATGTGCGGTTTCTGGCCCGGGGCAGTCCCGCGTCCACTTGTCCTGTTCTGGCCTCGGCCTTCCCGGTGCCTCCTGCTTGTCCCTCCCCTGAAGTGGATGTCCCCAGAGCTCCCAGCTCATCCCCTCGCTCACTCACGCCAAGCCCAGTGTGCCACGTGTGGTGCTGGGGGTGCCTAGAGCAGGTGGTCCTACTGTGTGCGTGACCACCTACTGTGCGCGGGCTCCTTTGCCTGTCTCTCTGTCACAGGGCCCCCAACACGCCTTCCCTTCCCCTTTGGACCTCCCCAGGCCCCTCCTGGCCAGGGCCCCCCTCTCCTAGTCCCCGTTGCCCACAGGGGCCCTGGTGTCATGGAAAGCCAGGCCCCTGGCTCTGACTACCCTTCCCACCCACAGGCTGGTGTGAAGGACACGGAGAACCGAGTGGCCCTGCACGCCCTGACACGGCCGCCCACCCTGCTGCTCCTGGCGGCGGCCAGCAGCGGCCTGCGCTTCGTCCTGGCCTCCTTTGCTCTGGCCCTCCTCCTGCCTGTGCTCCTGGCCGTGG